CTGGGGTGTGGCTTTCGCATAAGGAGCACCCTGGGAACCTCCTTCCCCCTCTACCTTCCTGCCTACTGGGACTCTGGTGGCCACCCTGAGACTGCCGGTGCCCTGCCATGTGTCCACCGCCATCGGATCCAGATGGCTGGGCACCGGCCAGCCTGTGATCTCCTGCATTCTGCACCATTGCATGTGGCTGTGTGCATCTGAAGAAGGACTCATGGACTAGTATCGGACTGAGGAACTTGAGTGGACTGAGCTGGGATGCTTTCTTGATATATAATTACTTCTTTATATAAAGCTCTTTATTATACGTAGATGAGTGTCACTGGTTTTGCGTCTCTAGTCAACTAAGCCTAACACACAGTCCTATAGGAGAGTGGAACAGCCCCTTTGGGTTTCCAAGGCTGTAAATCCTTACATGAGTAGAAAGCCTTGTCTTTCTCCTGTGGAGCAGCTGGTGGTTTCGAACCGGTGACCTTGAATTTAGCAGCCCAAGATAAAACTGACTATGTCACAGGGCCCCATGAGCCATTAGTGAAATGTAAGTCAAGACATCGTTATATACCCATGGGATCGGCTTTAGTTAAAATCAAAGAAAAGATAGTGACAATACTCGATGATGAAGCTGGGGAGAAATTCTCTCCTGAATTGCTGGAGAGAACTAAAAATGCCATAGCCACCCTGGAAAGCGGTCGAGCGGTTTCTTTTAAAAGCTAAACATACCCTTACTATGCAACCCAGCTCTCCCACTGGCAGGCGTCTATCTCAGAAAAGCAAAGTGAGTGTCTGCACAGAAAACATGTACAAAATGTTTTCCCCACACTCATGAGGGTTTGTTAAGGAAGTTAACAGGCTACCGCAAGTCAGAATCAGTAAACGGTAAGGATGCAGTCACTGGTCCGCAGCAACACCCCTCCTTGACCGTGGCCAAGGCTCTCTCTGGTCCCCAGCCTCACAGCCTCGTGGTCCCTTGGGCTCTGCCTCTGTGAGTCAGAAAGCCTGCCGATGTTCAGCCTCTTTGTCTCATAGTCTCCACATCGCTCCTCTGTTCTGTCTCATGGTCTCCTTGCCTCAGCCTCTGGTGCCTCTGGTCTCGGCATCTACCATTTCAGATAGAGACCTTGAACGTGCTCTGCTTCTGATGGCCTTGATCTTTCACTCTGTCCCTGCCCAGAGGCCTCATCCTTATAGCCAAGGGAGAGACGGGAAAAACGGAGCCATTCCCCTGTATTAGTGTTAGAGAGGCCCTGTTTGCATAGCCCCACTCAATTATTTGGCGAGAGTCAAAGAGATATGGATAGGAGAGCCAGATTAAGAAGTTTCCCTACACTACACTATGTAAGGCAAAATCTTTCCATCCTTGCTTCTAAGGAGCATTTTGACTGGACTTCTTCCAAGACTTATTGTTCATTCTTCTGGTAGTCGGTGGTAGATTGAATACTCTTTATCAACACCATCACTCAAACGCATCAACGCTTCCTTGGTCTTCCCGAGTCAATGCACACGAGGCTTCTAAAAGCTCCATGTGGCTTGAGTCAGGCACGCCTCAGTCCTCAGCGTAGCCTGCTGGCGTTTGAGCACTGTAAAGAGGGCTTCAGCAGCGGATGGGCCCCACACCATATGCCATGTCACTTATGAACTGTTGCGCCCTTGCACATGGGTTATAGTTCTGTACACAAATGTTTGTAGCATCTTGACTTAGGGCAGCCACACACTAGAGCGCAGAACTAAATAATACAGCAAACGAGAGAGCAACCAAAACGGAGCCTGGTTGAACAGGCCGTGGTCCACCTGCACGGTGAAGCCCGGTCGTCACCGGTGCGTCCACCAGGTGGGGCCCTGCTCGTAGCAGCCCCGTGTGACAGAGTGGAACTGCCCTCCATGGGGTTTTCTCAGCTGCCATCTCCATGAGAGCAGGTTGACAGGCCTTTCTCCATCAGAGTAGCTGGGTGGGTTTCAGCTGCCAAGCGTTCGGTCAGCGTCCTAGCACTTAGCCATTGTCAAACCAAGGCTCCTTCTGCGGAGTACGACCTAGCTGTAAAAATGGACAGGTTCTTGATACACCACCACAGTCAGGCTGCATTTCAAGGGCATGACTTACGGCTGCGTGTGAAAAAAGTCAATCTCAAAATGGCACACTGTGCAGGGTGACTTACACCACAGTTTCCATGGACACGCTTGAGGAGGTGGAGACCAGGTCAGTCCCTGCATGTAGGTGGTGGGGTGAAGTGCTGTGGTTGTAAGGGGGAGCAGGAGAGAGCTCTCTCTGGTGTCAGAAGTGCTGTACCTGAATTGCTACACCTGATAAAGTAGCTGAGACCAGCACCCTCACAGAATGCCCGTGCCAGTTCGTGAGCTGCACCCGTTTGGGGGAAGCAGGAAGAAGGGTGCAGGAACCACTCTGTACTGACTTTGCAACTTCCAGTGGATCTATCATGAATTCAAACTAAAAAGTTCAGAAAGACAAAAGCCCAAGCAGGAAACTCAGGCTCCAGGTCACTCAGATCCCAGCTCCACAGCTGATTACTTGCTGTGTGACCTTCAGTAGGTTGCTTCACCTCGCTGTGCTGCTGGGTCATATTGCTACCCCAGAGGTCTGTGAGGGCTTATAGAGCTGGTCTGTTTCCTAGTGCGGCTCTAACAGAAATACCAAGAGCAGGTGGCTTAACCAAACCAACATGTATCCGCTTACACTCCAGGAGGATGGAAGTCCAAGCTCAGAGCACCAGCTGTAGAGAAAACTTTCTTTCCGAGTTGGCTCTGAAAGGAAGTCCTGTCTCCTCTCAACATCTGTGGGCTCAGCATTCCTCAAAGCTCTCTGCATATCTTGGCATCTGGCCCTGGTCTAGGAGATTCTTAGCACAGGGACCCTGGATCCAGAGAACACACCCCTCTGTTTCTGACTTCTCTTTCTTGGTGGTCTTCTGTTCACAGATATCATGTTCAGTCTCTTTTATATCTCAAATGAGGTCAACTCCATATGCAATCTAATCCTGTAGATTGTATCCGGCCTCATTAACACAATTGCCGCTAATCCTGCCTCGTTAACATCTTACGAAGGTGGGCTGTTACAACACGTAGGATAATTGCATCAAATGACAAAATGAAGGGGAATCACATAACACTGAGCACCATGACCTAGCCAAGTGGTCACATATTTTGAGGGGACACAGTTTGATCCACAGTAGAGATCATTTCATAAAGGGCTCAGCAGGTGGTAAAGAGGCCACTACATGTAACCTCCTCCCTGGGGGACGGACAGCGGAGAAGTGGGTAAAGGGAGACGGATGGTGTAAGATACGACAAAATAATAATATTTTTTTAAATTATCAAGTGTTCATGAGAGAGGGAGGGGGAAAATGAGGAGCTGATACCAAGGGCTCAAGTAGAAAGCAAATGTTTTGAGAATGATGATGATACCATATGTACAAATGTGCTTGACACAATAGACGGATGGATGTATTGTGATAAGAGTTGTGCAAGCCCCCAATAAAACGATTAAACAAAAAAAGAGGCAACATAAGTTGTTGTTGATGAGGATGATTATGCTAAAAAGGAAGGTGCTTGGATGGTGTGGGAGGGGAGGGTGAGGGAGGTGGGGAGGAGCCAGGGCCCTCTGGGAAAGCCCACTAATGAAACCCTGCTCTGCTTTGTGCCTTGGGCGTAGCTGGGAGTGTGTGGCAGCGGAAGGGGAGGCGGGTACTCACCCAGGGTCATTCAGTACCCTTGGCCTGGGTGCTTCAAGTGCTGCTGGCTCCTAACACTGGCCCTTGTCTGCCATGCTGTTGCTCTGTCGCCCCTCCCCAGCTCTGTGGTGGGAGACAGGAACTCCTGAGGGTCCTGCACTCACTGTGTGGCACTTGGATCCCACAGCCACGTGCCCAGCATGGGCGTGAACTCCTCTTTCCCGAGGGCCTTTCTGTGCCAGGCGCCGGGTCCACGCCTTGCCACCTCATAGGGATCCCGGGAAGTAAGCACCCTAATTGCCCTGCTCAGAGGGGTGAGGGGGCAGAGGTCCAGAGAGCTGCAGCAAGTGGCCAGGGGTCCACAGGTAGTTAGAGGCGACATTCTGCCTTAGGTCTGTGGCCCCCGGGGCTGCTCTCTAAGAACTCTGATACCAGCAACCCAACCACACTTGCTAAGATACAAGGCCCCATTCTAAGACCAGCTCACTTAGGCCTCAGAATGGAGTTACCTGTGGATTCTAGTGCCATCCTTCCCAAGTACAGGTCGGGAGTAGGGGACCGTGGAGGTGGGGGTGGGGGGGTGCGAGGCACAGAGAGGTAATTCCACTTGCCTGAGATCACACAGCAAGCAGCAAAACTAGGACTGGAATCCAGACACTCAACAAGAGTATGTGCTAGCCTCCCTACCACACTTCCTCTCAGCCAGCTCCCCCTCTTCAGCCTCCCAGAAGGTTAGTGGGCTCACCCTGCCCCATGAGTCACCTGGTCAGACCTGTTTGGGATGCAGGGCGTTGGGCAGTGGTGGTAAGGGAGGAGAACTTGCCTCCCTCCTCCCTTCCCTCCCTCTGAGGCAAGGCAGAAGAGCCAACCCAAGTCCCCAGCAGTTGAATGAGGTTTGGTAATAAAGGCGTGTCTCCGGGAAAGGGTGGGCATATCAATAGTAATTTAAACTGCCCAGAAGAGAAAACATAAGGAGTGGTGTGCCTGTCTCAGTGGCCCCTGGCCGAGGAGTGTAGACGGAGCCACCGGCCCAGCTGGACCTGGAGCTAGCTCAGAAGAGGAGCCGGGATTCCAGCAAGAGAGCGATGCTTTCCAGGGCATGGGAAGACAACAGAGATGGCACGACAGGTTTCCTCCAGAGAGCCCCATCCTCCTTTGGTGTCTCGGCCAGCTCTTTAAGCCCCATGATCCCTGGGTGTTGGGCAATGCGGGTCACACCCCCCACTTCCCACAGACTGGGTCCAGAGCTGCGTGAGTCAGTGTGCATGTTGACCTCCCTGACTTCCCTTCGTGGTGGATCTTTCTACATCTTTCTAGACAATGCAAGGCTGTGGCCCCTCCAAAGTGGACAGCCGGGAACTGGGGGAGATGTCAGAGGGCGTTGAATCAAATCCCAGCTTCTCCATCCAAGGCTGCCCGGGCGTCGCCTCCCTCGTCTTTGTTCCCAAGCTCGACATGCCACCTGAGCTGGTACTGGACTCCTTTCAATCGACATGGGGCTTAAACGTCAATGACTTGTTTTAAAAGGAAACTGCATTGTTACCGAAAGCATGGATTTGATGGCTAGTTACACACACACACACACACACACACACACACACATTTCTCATATAGAGAGCAACTGGAATGTGAAAAATGTTCATCTGTGTACCAGCCAAAACCACCTCCAGATGCATGTCCCGGGCACATCCACAGAGACTGCCCAAGGGCCACACTATGGGGGTGTTCACAGTGCATGCCCAGAGTGCAAGTGCAGAGCATGTCCACAGAGCATTCCCTAAGGCATGGCCATGGTGTCCGTCGTGGACCACCTTCACAGAGCACAGCCACGGAACTGTCCATGGGATACGTCCATGGTTCACCTCCGGGGAGGACATCACAGTGGTGTCTGTAATGCATGTCCACAGACCCCATGCACATGGAGCCTGCTCTCAGAGCAGCACTTCCTTGGAGCACACCCACACTGCTGTCGGCACCACACACCTAACAGCACACATTTGTGGCCCATGACCTAGTACGTGGTGTCCACACGGCACGTTCAGGGAGCATGTCAATGATGAATGTCTGCAGGACACATCCACAGCACACTGTGTCCATGGCTCACATCCCCAGAACATGTCCTCAGAGCCCAACCATGGAAAACACCCATGAAATGCGTCCATGGCCCACACCCATGGCACAGCCACCATGCTGCCTACAGGGCATGACACAGAATGTATCCACCCAGCACCTCTACTGTGTATCCCAAGGGGCACACCCAAGGAGCACAGGCCCATGCCCTTGACCTGGCTGTGAGGATACCTGACCTCCGAGAGAGTGGCCACGCCCAAGCCGGACATCATCAGTGATGCACGTTCTGAGAAGAGGCCTGTTCTCAGGGGGGAGGGGCAGCGAGGTGTGGCCACTCAAGGATGCGTTCTGAAATCAGAGCTTCCGATTGTTGCCTTGAAATTTCACCCACACAGCACACAATTCAGGAGCCCTATCTTATCAAGAAGGGTTGTACAATCATGACGACAATCTAGATTAGAATGTTTTCTTCCCTCCTTGCACTCATCTTATTTGTGTAATTATTTTTTTTAATTTTGGCAAAAATCTACACAATGAAACATTCTCCCATTCAACAACTTCTACGTGTCTGATTCAGTGCCATTGATTATACTCTGCGTGTTGTACAACCATTGTCGATATCCCTCTCTCAATTGTTCCACCACCACTACAATGAACTCAATGCCCCGAAGCAAAAACTCTTCCTCGTTCACCCATGGTAACAATAGGGCAAGTTCAATTTCTTCTTTTTGTAAGTAGTTTTCTTGATATAATATTCACATATCATACGCTTCCATTGTTAAGTCTCTTTAAAAAAATCATTTTATTGGGGGCTTGTACAACTCTTTTTTTTTAATCGTTTTATTAGAGGCGCACAAAAAACGCATCACAATCCATACATACATCAATTGTGTAAAGCACATTTGTACATTCATTGCCCTCATCATTCTCAAAACATTTCCTCTCCACTTAAGCCCCTGGCATTAGGTCCTCATTTTTCCCCTCCCTCCCTGCTTCCCCCTTCCTCATGAGCCCTTGATAATTTATAAATCATTATTTTGTCATATCTTGCCCTGTCCGACGTCTCCCTTCACCCACTTTTCTGTTGTCCATCCCCCAGGGAGGGGGTTAGATGTAGATCCTTATGATCGGTTCCCGCTTTCTACCCCACCTTAAATCCCCTTTTTAAAGAGTTGTATATACATTATCACAATCCGTTCTAAAGTCCTCCCTGGGGCGGCCCCATCCCCACCCCATTCCCACATCAACTTTTTAATTTATTTTTTCCCATGTAGGCCCATGGGCTGGTGCTTGGCGCACAATCAGTGTCAATGACGGTGCAAGCTGGGACTTCTTGGTTCATTGCAAGCACTTCTTTCCTTCATCTTGGTCCCGGAGCCGGGGGGGAGAGGGAGAGGGTGTAAATGGTGCAGCTCTAACTGGTCACCTAAAGGCTGGTGGTTCAAACCCACCCAGCAGTACCATGAAACACAGCCCTGGCCATCTGCCGCTAACAAGGTAACAGCCAAGATCACAGCCGTCTCCTCTGTCACACACAGTGCGCTTCGACGCTTCTTCTCCCTGATTCAGGTCTGCCGAGTGAAGGCGAGGATGGGACCGTCCGGGGATTTGGCACAGTGGGCCTGATTTCTTCCTTTTCCCAAGGGTTATACCTGATACGTCTGGAAGACAACGTCTTCAGGGTCACCTGCCCCATCAAGCAGGCTGCACTCCTTCTTGCCTGTTACTCACCTTCCAGGCAAATGATGCAGCAACTCTCCAGCCTTGGCCTTGACGCTTATCCCTTCAAACCCTTGTGCTTCTTGACCTCCCTGGAAAGGCTCCTAGTGGCCCGGCTCCTTTCCCTGATCGCCACCTGTGATTCGTTTTCCCCTCCCTCTCTGACATCTCAAAACCATGAGTGCACACTGCCGACCCCCGGGGGAGTTGGGATCTCGGCCGAAGATGGCTTTTATCGACAGCGTGAGTGAGGGATCATCTGAGAAAACGGCAGCAGAGCTATTGATTAGCAACCAAGTCATGGGTGCTAGCCCGGGCCAGCAGCACAACACGAATGTGAGCTCATGTTCAGAATCAGGAGGGGCTAGAGAGATGCAAGAAACCACCCCGACACTGAGAACATGGAGTTCCCCCTCATTTTCCTGGGTTTGAAAAGCTGGATTGAACCCCCAAGCTGTGTCCGTTTTCATTTCCTGTCTCGTTGGGCCCCTCCAGTACTAGGGAGAAATACAGGGCCAGCGGGGGGCAGAATTGTGACACACTGGACAGTGGGGGCTGCCCCCGAGCTGTTCCCCGACTCGAGGGGTGACCTCATGCACTGCCTGGCCCTGAGCCTGCGGTGCCAGTGGTCACTGCGGATCGCCCCACTCTGATCCAGAGGGTCTTTATTGGCTGTCTGTCCTAAGTAGATGGCCAGGCCTCTCTTCCATCTCCCTCAAAAACAGTGGTTCCCGACCTTCCTCATGCCGCGGCGACCCTGTCATATAGTCCTTCAAGCGGTGGTGACCCCCAACCATAAAATTATTTTCATTGCTACGTCATCACTGTCATTTTGCTACTGTTATGAATTGTCACGTAAATATCTGATAGGCAGGATGTATTTTCATGATTACAAATTGAACGTCATTAAAGCACAGTGATGAATCACAGAAACAATATCATTATAGATTGTGAAATAGTTATTTCTAATGACAAAGAAATGAAATTGTGTCTTGAAGCATGGTGTAGCAAGGGTAACAGTCTTCACGCAGGTTACTCGTGTGTGGGCGTATCTGCCTGTGGGCGGACCCGCCTGGAGATGGACAGCACTGTCTCCCTTCCTAAGACCATCAGAAAGATGTGTTTTCCGGTGGCCTTAGGTGACCCCTGGGAAATGGTCGTTTGACCCTCAAGGGGGTCTTGACTGCCTGGTTGAGAATCGCTGCTCTAGAAGCTCCATGAAGAACCCTGCTGGGCAGCACAGCAGGCCCCCGGCCTTGCTGGCACACGGTGGTGGTGGTGGTGCTGGGGGTGGTCGCGCTTCAGCTCCCTTGGCTGGGAGTGGAACCCACGTCTCCTGTGGAGCAGGAGAGGATCCTGCCCTGGAACCACCACCGCCCCCTGTGGGCAGAGGAGAGGTTCAGTCCAAATGTGGCTGCATTTCCTTCCGTCGCAGACCGGGAGAGACTAGGATGTATTGGCATCCTCCACTCCTCTCCTAGAACCAGACCACTGACAGCTTCCCCGGGACCTGGGCAGTGTGAGAAAGTTACCCGGTGCCTGCTTCTCAGTGTTCAAAACTCAGACCCAAACTCCCTGCCATCGAGTGACCCTATAGGACAGCCCCTGTGGGTTCCTAAGGGCCCCTCAATCTTTAAGATGCATAAAAACCAGCTGGGGTCCTTTACGTTTGTTTACTCATGCTCTAGCATTCAATACACACAACAGACCCTTCACCAAGTTCACAACCGCCATGCAATGTCACGGTTATTCTTCTGGTTGTGTAACCCTTGTTGCTGCCCCTTTGCAAAGCTGTCAACCACCATTAACATAATAAGCGCTATGTTCCCTAAGCATCAACTCCCTTGCCCTCCCCACCCACACAGCCACTGATCATCGTCGGTTTCTGAATATTTGCTAAGTTCACATGTGAGCCTGCTACAGCATCTCGGTTTTGTAGGTCCCTCCACCGGGTGACAGGCATGTCACTGAAGGGTCCTGTTCTAGTGACCTTTCTGGCTCCACAGTTGTGGAGTTGGGCTTGGGAGTCTTATATCTAACCAGCCTCCAACTGATGGGGATGTAGCTGGTTGGTCCAGAGACCACAAGTTGGCGGGGGCGGGGTGGGGGTGGGGTGGTGGTTCCTATCCTGGTCCCAGGGACCTGTGCTCTTCCCAGCTCTACTGCCAACCAGCTGTGTGGCCTCAGGGGGGCACAGAGCCGTCTGGACTGCATTTCTTCATCTGGAAACGATTTAGACCAACAGGCAGATACAGATAGCTTACTGCACGCCAAGCGGCTCTGGGTACTTGCTGAGAAAACATAGATGAATCAGCTACAAGCCAAGCCCAGGAGGCAGCACAGGCTGGGGACCTAAAGGCCCCAAACTGTAATATTGAAAGACCCTTGCAACTCTACAGTTTTATGACTTCGTGGCAAGAATAGGGTTCTAAGATCTTTAACTTCCAGAAAGCATCTCTCTCTCCCCAAATACTTTACCAGGGACCTATCCCAGAGCCAAGTACATGATTTTAGAATCTGTAATGATGAAAAGCTCGGGAGGGGGAGGATTGCCCACCGCCCCCCACCACCACCAGGCCGCTGTTGTGTGGATCTGGGGAAAGGTGAGCCTCGGAGCAGAAAGTGTTGGACTCAGAGTGAATGACCATTCCCCAGCTAGACTGATTAGAAATAAAATCTGG